ACGTAAGGTGAGGATTTCTCACTGCCATCGGGTCAGTTCTGACTCCCAATGACCTTATAGAACGGGATAGAACTGCCTCTGAGTTTCTGAGGCTGTAAATCGTTACAGGAATAGAAAGACCCATCTTTGTCCCACAAAGCCACTGGTGGTTTTGAACTGCTGCTCTTAAGTTTAGCATTCCAATACTTAGCTTCCTATACCACCAGGATGTCGATTTAGGAGTTGTATTTTTTATTGGTAAATAAAGGTGACTAGAATAAATGATTAAGAAATATCTCAAATACAGCCACTACTGGGCTTTCCATGGATCTGTGCTACTCTGCACATATTCAGAAAGAAGCATTGATGATGTAGGCGTCTACTTTCCGTCTACTCCGCTTCAGTCCTGAGAACTTGGACTGGTTTCATGCAGTCTACCTTTAAAGGAATGGGTGTGAGAAATCACCTCAAAGGACTGAATGTGCTTTCCACGGAGACTGTTTCTCTAAGGTATGTCCTTTAAGGAACTATCTCCCTTCTCGTTGTTTTGGATCTAGATTTATTAGATAAGTTTAGCTATGTGTACAGATTATCAGTAGAGAAAATGTGCTGTGCTTTTTATATTAATTGAAATGTGTACTCACATGATAGCAACTTGCAACCAAGCACATTCTTTCCACAGTTGGTCTAATTGTAATATCTAAATTGCTGTGTACTAATTTTTCTTGCCTTCATTTTTTTTTTTAGCAATCCCAACAACTGATATTCTATAGGATGTCATATATTCCTTCAGAATTTAAAAACTAGAAGGGATACAGAGGTAATTTTGCCCTGTCTGCTCTAACTTGCAGATGAGGAAATGGAAACACACATATTATTTGTCTGTGCAACGAGCAGGCATGTGTTCCTTCGATAACCGGAACCTTTGTCTTTTTTTGCTCAACTCTTTCTAGTGTTGTCTTGTAAAGATTATTAGGGGTGATTTTCACCTCTCTGTAAAATGTAATATGCTCAGCATTGTCCATCTACTCCTACATATTTTCCTAGGCAAATCTATAGGTTCAGGGATCTGGGAAGAAGTAAAATGTGAAATCATAAGGATAGCCAGGAACCAAGAAGAAATAGCAACATGGCATGAACAGGAAAGTGACTACTGATGCTGAGACAGAAGCTCTACAAGTGGAGGCGGAACACAGGGACGGAAGTTTACTTTCTCACAGTTTAAGAGGCTAGGAAGTGCCAGCTCAGGAAGGCTTTCTCTGTTAGCACTGGAGAGAGGTCCTTGTCTCTTTGGGTTTCTGCTTCTGGGTGATCTTCATGTAGCTCAGCATCTCTTCCCACCTACTTGCGCTATCCTCACCATCTCGCCTGTGTTGCAACCACTGTGTCAATCTGTTTCGAAGGTCTTCTGGTCTTCCTCTTTTTCACTGACCCTCTACCGTACCAAGCATAATGTCTTTTTCCAGGAACTGATCCCTCCCAATCACATGTCCAAAGTTCAAGAGATGGAATCTCCATCCTCCCTTCTAACTGTACATCTAAGACACATTTTCCCCTTCGTGCATGCTGTAATTAATCAGTATCCTTCACCAACACCATAGTGGCAGTTTGGGCACCCTCAAGGTTCTCTCATATGTTCTTTATGTTTAGGGAACAAAAAGCAAGTTCAGAGCTGGAGAGTGGATAGCGTAAGGTTTCCCAACAGAATTCTCATAGGACAGTCCTTGCTACCCTTAAAAAATGAGCAAGTATACTGTTATGAAAACATAAAATTCTTTGGTGCAACTTAAAAAAAAACCCACAAAAACCTTGTCAATTGAAGACTCCTCTTTAGCTTTGGGCTTGATCTGCTTTTCAATATTTTCTGTCTTTTTTTTCATAAAGGGTTTATGTCTATTGTATTTTGTCATTGTGGGTAACCTTCTTGAATCTTTGCTATTATTTTTCTCTATACGAAATCCAGGATTGATGAGCCCTATTATGTTTATAATATACAACTACAAGTGTAATAAGAGTCCCTGGGGGGTACAGTGGGAGAGGTGGGGTGGGAGTAATGTAGGAAGCTGTTATCAAAGAGTTCAAGAAGGAAGAAAATGTTTTGAAATGGATTTTGCTGGCAATTGTACAAGACTGTCTGATGTCATTGAACTATGGAATGGTATGATGTCTGGATTAACTCCTAATAAAATGGTGTGGGGGACTCTGTCTTGTTTTTGTGCATGTTGTTGTCTCCGCAGGTCTGTCTGGATAGGACAGGCTGGATGAACAATCTGGAGGAGAAAACAA